GGCTAGTGAAGAAGAAACTGAAAGGAAAGGTAAGGAGGGTCAAACCCCTTCAAGAAGCTTGGAGAGTGTTTAAAACTACAATACTGGAAGCTCAGGTACAATGTATACCACAGTTTAGGAAAGGTAAGAATAGGTATATTAAAAAAGGCCTGCATGGTTAATAAACAAAGTAATGGAAGCAATAAAATGTAAGAAGGACCCCTTTAAGTGGTGGTAGGCTAGTTTGACTGAGGTAAATAAAAGGGCTCTGGCAATAAAAGGTAAATAAAAGGCTCTGGCAAATTAAATGCAAGTCAGTGATCAGACAAGCAAAAAGGGACTATGAGGAACATAATGCAAAAGACATAAAGAAAAACAATAAAAATTTCTTCAATATATTAGAAGCAGAAAACCAGGGAGGCAGTGGGGCCCTTGGATGACCAAGGGCTGAAAGTACTACTAAAGGATGATAGGGAAATGGCAGAGAAGCTGAATGCAGTTTTGCCTCTGTCTTCACTGTGGAAGGTAGAACGTGCTTGCCCACTCTAGAACTGCCTATTTCAGGAGGGGTGTCAAAAGACCTGAGTTTGATTGAGGTGGCGAAACAGGAGGTCCTACAATGAGGAACACATTAAAAACTGACAAATCACCAGGCCCAGATGGCATACATCCAAGAGTTCTGAAAGAACTCAAATAGGAACTTGTGGAGCTTCTGACAAAAGTATACAATATATCACTAAAATCTGCCACCACCCCTGAGGACTGGAAGGTAGCTAATGTAACTTCAATCTTCAAAAAAGGCCCCAGAAGAGATCCAGGAGATTACAAGCCAGTTTTAGACCAGGTAAATTGGTGAAATCCATTATTAAAGATAGAATTAGTAGGCACACTGATGAACAAAATCTATTGAGGAAAAATCAGCATGGATTCTGTAAGGGCAGGTCTTGTCTCACTAAGCTTTTAAGAGCTCTTCGAGCGGGTGAACAAAGGTGGACAAGGGTGACCCAGTTGATGTTGTTTACCTAGACTTCCAGAAAGCTTTTGATAAGGTTCCCCACCAAAGGCTCCTAAGTAAAGTCAGCAGTCATGGGATAAGTGGACAAGTCCTCTTGTGGATTAGAAACTGGTTAATTAACAGGAAACAGGGAGTGAGTATAAATGGTCAGATTTCACAGTGGAAGGGGGTAAGCAGTGGGGTACCACAGGACTCAGTACTAGGTCCTGTGTGTTTTAACTTGTTCATTAATGATTTGGAGTTGGGAATAAGCAGTGAAGTGGCTAAGCTTACGGATGACACTAAATTGTTCACGGAGGACTGTGAGGTGCTCCAGAGGGATATGTTGAGGCTGAGTGAGAGGGCATCAACATAGCAAATGAGGTTCAATGTGCGCAAGTGCAAAGTAATGCACACTGGAGCCGAAAATCCTAACTATACGTTGACAGGGTCTGAACTGGAGGTAACTGACCAGGAGAGAGATCTTGGAGTCAAGGTAGATAACTCACTGAAGATGTTGTCAAAGACAGCCCCTCTGCCCAAACCAGGCTAGGAGTTCTCTTCACCAAGAGGCTGGCTAGCTACAAGTACAAAGGGGTTAAAGGCACCTGTTTTACCTTTAACCAGGTAGTGCTACCACCAGTCCTTTTACGTCCCTCCAGTCCAAAACCAAAGGACAGACTCTGGACCAGGGGTGGCCAAACTGTGGCTCGGGAGCTGCATGTGGTTCTTTCACACATATTGTGCAGCTCCTGGCAGGGCAGCTGGGGAAGCTAAATATCATTAGCAAACAAATATCATTGGACAAATAAATATCATTATCAATATCTGCTTTAACCGCTTTTGTTATTATTATTGGCAGTCTCATTTAATGTTAATAAAAAGCGAATTTGCATATTTCCCAGTAAAAATGTATAATATTTGTTCATGTTTTGCAGCTCTCAAACATCTGATGTTTATTCTATATGGCTCTTACATTAAATACTTTCGATTTATTGATCGCTCTTTCCCACACACCTGCGGGCTCAGAGCGATTTACAGTTACTCTCTGACAATTGGGCTAACAATATTCGTGGGGGATAGGGAAGACAACATACAGCATTTTTAATTACACACACATTGCAGCTAGCCCGGGCTTCATTTGCGGGCAAGTTTGGTCACCCCTGCTCTGGACCTTACCAGGCTCAACTAGGGAATTCTCCCTGTGAAATTGGGTCACAGTAGGAGACCCACAGGCACCAGATAACTCATTGCAGCAGTGGAGGCAGAAACCAGAATTGGTGAATAAAATATGTATTTATTTAAGTGCAGAGTATTTAATAAAAGAAGTGCAAATTACTTAATATTGTGGGAAGTAAAACAAGAAAGCTAAAGATTAACAAGCTAGCCAAACACTTATAGAATCTTGGTTCTCAAAGTCAACATGTTACCCATTCAGTTCTGGGTCCAAGTGTATTACATCTCCAGAGTCCAAAAAGCCAGACTGGTTGACTTCAGCAATCAGAGCTCCCAAAATGGCCGAAAGGTAAGCAAGGCAGTTAAATGTCAGCTTCACATGCAACACCATCACGACCCCTGAATAGGAGTTAAGGTAACTTATTTATTGTCTGAACCCCAGACCAATTACTAGGCCTGAGCACCAATCAGGGTTCAAGCAATGGCTTCCTGAGGAGGCCAATCAAGGAAAGGGTGACATCATTGGTTTCTGATTTGGTCTCTGGTCATGTCAGAAAAGCAGGGGATGTGATCTGCAGTTTCACAACACCAGTCCTTCCCACAAGACTTAATTGCTTTGGAATGTTAATGAGCCAAGGTTGCAGGAGAACATCTTATTTTGCAGGTGCAAAGATAGACACTCTTCTCCAGCACAACTGTGTGAACTAAGGAGACTTAAAGACAACTTTTTTTTTTAACAAAAGCAGGCCACAGCCAGATTGAACCAAACTTTTAAAGCAAACTCCACTTTGAGCAAACCAAAGTTCTTGACAGATGTTGACTCAGTGTGCAACTACAATTAAAAAAAGGCAAATGCTATGCTGGGGATTATTAGCAAGGGTACTGAAAACAAATCAGCCGGTATCATAATACCCGTGTAGAAATCAATGGTGCAGCCTCATTTGTAATACTGTGCACAGATCTGGTCACCACACCTCACAAAAGATATTATCAAACTGGAAAAGGTGCAGAAAAGGTGCAACTAAAATTATTACGGGAACGGAAACACCTTCCCTACAAAGAAAGGTTAAAGAGGTGATGGCTCTTCAGCTTGGATAAATGACAATTGAGGGGTAACTTGACTGGTTTACAAAATTATGAATGGGATAGAGAAGGTAGAGAAAGAGGTATTTTTCTCCCCTTCTCACAATACAAGAACTCGTGGGCACTCAAAGTACTTTTTCACGCAAAGAGTAATTAACACGTGGAATTTACTGCCGCAGGAAGTGGCGGCAGCTAAAAGCATATACAGTTTCAAAAGGGATTGGATAAATATGGAGCAGACGTCCAGCAGTGGCTATTAGCCACAAGGTATAGATGGAACACTATGTCTGGGGCAGTGATGCTCTGTATGCTTGTGGCCTGGGGAGCAACAGTGGGAGGGCTTCTGAAGTTCTGGCCCCACTGGTGGACCTCTTGATGGCACTTGGGTTTTGGCCACTGTGTGACACAGCGTGCTGGACTGGGTAGCCATTGGCCTGATCCAGCACGGGTACTCTTACGTTCTTAGATTCTAAAGCCCAATATTCCAAAATCAAGCAAAACAAGGCTTGACAAGTATCAGCAGCTGATTGCACAGAACCATCCTGTGGCTATATATAACAGGCATCTGAAAGAGACAGGCAGGGCAGAGAAGACAGATGGAAGGCAGAAGATCTTCGGGGAGGGGGGGGAGTAAAGAGATCGACCAGACAAGGTCTTATAAGAAACAGGGTGAAGGTAAGAAGGATTCACCATCAAAGTTGAGGCAGCAGAAAAAGCGCAGGTAGTCTAGGAATAGGCTAGAAGATCTGTGGTGGAGACCGTCTGAAGAGAGAAGGATGCCTCAGCAAGACCAAAGGGAAGCCTGCAGGGCAGTCTGAATCAACCCTCTACCAACATCATAAGGAAACTGCCAGGCTTAAAAGGATATCACTCTTCATCCATCAGTAAGCTTGTGCAGTGCTGACTGGGCTAGGAGTAAGGTCTTCATTTTAGCAGGGACAGTCTCTCTTAGAACCTCATCTTAAACAGTCCTTTATCAATGGACAGAGTTGCATTGTTGCATATATATTGGATTTGCAGTTTCTTTTTTAAAATGTATACATTTTTCTATTTAAGCCTTAAGTTCTTATTTCCAGGGGACGTGACCAATGACCTGGTGAAAGTTACAAACCTTTGGGTGTCATCACATTGTCACTAATTTATTTTCTCTGTTTATTTATTTAATTAGATCTCTATCCTGCCCTCCCCTGCGCAGCAGGGCTAAGGTTACCTTTAGATCCAATCTTTAGTTACAGGGGATAACGAGGGTATGTACTGTTTTGTATTTTTGAATAGAGCTTTGCAGGTAACTCTAAAAAAAGGACATTACTTCTCATGAGTCTTTGGAATAGGCTATGCAAAGGCTATGCAAAGTTAGTTTTCACAAAGAAAGCCAAATCTAGACCAAATACGTTGTACCATAATTGAAGTGAACCCAATGAAGGATGCCAAGTTGCCTCCTCTGAAGCACGGCAAGTTTACTACTACATATTGCTGGCAAGGATATATGCCATCATGTCTCCTTTTCAGATGTATATGAATACAGACTCAATTTCATTTCAGTTTCCCCAACATATTAAGAATCATCAGCTCCCATCATCTGAACTTTAAATCCGATCTTCAATTAAGCACTTTTGAAATGATATTGGAATGGAGCTAGAACATAATTTGACTTTCTACCAGTTCTGCTTTTCCATTTACACACTTCAAAATTTTGTTAATGCTACAATGACAGAGAATCATATTGCTCTAGTATTTTAGAAAAAGTAAAGCCAAGCATGTTACTTACGCATCAGGCTGTAAATGTGCTTTTCTGCAACATGTTCCGTAAACAGTTTTATAAGGTCATTTCTTAAGTCACGGTTAAGCTTTGTTTCTATGTAAAATTTATTCTGAAAAGCAAAGGAAAAAGGTTTATAAGTGTTTTGGAGCACAACCATGGGGTAATGTGGCAAGCCTAACACAACCAATGTCAAAGCAGAGAGTCCACTCCAAACCAATTTAACAAGGATGGATGTACTAAAATGAATGACAGGATAGCCCACTTGATATAGTGGGAGCCAAGAATGCCAACTGACTTGCATGGGCTACATTAAAATACATTACAGCACACAAAAGTTGCAATGAAAATGCAGAATGGATTTCCAAAATGAGCCTCTTGGACCAGACAGTCTGCTCTGAGACTGGAATGACAATCCCTGGAAGTAGCAGAAGTGCATTGGGCCTGGAATGACAGTTCTCAGAGTGGAATGACTGTCCGTGGAAGTAAATAAATGGCTCTGGGCCTGGAATTATAGCCCCAAAGTGGAATGATGGTTCTTGAGTGTTGCAGAAGTGTTCTGCAACTGAAACGACAGGCCCCAGAGTGGAATAACAGTCCCTGAGAGCAGCAGAAATGTTCTGGGAGTAGAATGACAGCCACTAGGGTGGAAGGACAGTCACTGGGAACAGCAGAAGTGTTCTGCAACTTGAATGACAGGCATCAGAGTGGAAAGGCAGCCTCTAGGAATAAAATCAGTGCTCTGGGACTGGACCATTGTTCCATACTGAGGGCTGTCTTTCCAGTCCTGGAACAGTTCTGTTATTCCCAGTGGCTGTCATTCCACCCTGGGTGCTGTTATTCCAGTTGCAAAACACTTCTGCTACTCCCAGGGGCCATCATTCCATGCTTGGGCCTGTCTTTCCAGACCCAGAGCAGTTTATCTGGTTCCAGGGGCCCTCATTCCACTCTGAGGGCTGGCCCTCAAAATTCCCAGTTACCATGGATATTTCCCAGAATTCCTCAGGTCCCCATTTACTGGCATCCCGGAAAATCTCAGATACCATCCAGACATCTGAACATATCTGGAAAATACTGATGAACTATTTTTAAGATATTTATTTGGACTGGAAATATCCAAACGCGCATCAATACTTACTATTACTGCCTCTCCCCATTCTCGCACCACTACAGAAGCCCAGGGAATGGCACATTTACTTCCCATGGTCACCGTGCCAAGTGCCCCTCCTCACTCTGAGCTTGGAGCAAGCAAGTGGAGGGGACCATCCCCATAACTGTGCTCAGGAATTCCAAAGCTTAGCATGGTATCACCGACAAATGGGGCAGACCTGGCAACCACACATTTTGGCTTGGCAGAAGCCATTCAACTCAGGTTTACTGTAGCACTCGACAACTGTAGTCAGAAAAGGATTCACTTTATGGCTCTGAAAACAAGATGCCAAGTAGAAATGTGCAACTTCTAGCATCCCTCAAGGAATATTACTCTAGCTGCTCATTGACAGAGGGAATATTGAATCAATGGCACAGCTTAGGAAGACGCTTTCCTTGCAGCTGCTACCCACTTTTGCTACCTCATAAAATGAGGCACACAGTTCAGCACCAATCCTAGGAATTATAAGAAGATGCTGCTCTCCAGCTTGTTAGTAGAGCAGGTGACAGATTGTCCTCAGGAGCTATCACCTGCTGATGTACATTACCAAAACTCCTTTATACCACACATCAAATACATTTAGGGCCGCTTACATTTAAGTGTGGAAGATGAAAGTTTACTTGCCAAACATCAGCATTACTAAATTCTGTCACCTCTAGACTGTGCTACAATAAAATGCAATTGAACAGATGTTAGGAGTGAAGTAGCTTGAGGGCTTCTAAGGAGGTGCTCCATTTTAATTTAAAACCAAACACCACCACATCATATCGGGTATCCCCTAGGCAGCAAACAGCCTGCTATAAAAGTGACAGAAATATAAAGTTTGTTCTTTTGAGCGCACAAAAACTACCATCCAAAACGGAAGATTACACTTTTTTTTAAAGCTCAGCTTCATGAAGTGAATGAGTCATGCTCAAAATTTAGCAAATTCTCTACTAAATGTTATCTAAATAGAAAACAAATGTTGCAATGCCCAGTCATTTCCTTACAACGGACTGTTAAAATCCTTCCAACATACACTTGGGAGCAACAGCAGGACAACATGATGCAATCCTCTCCCCTCTATTAGAACTGGGTGGCCAGATTCAGTATCTTCTTCCTAGTGCCCTCCCTTCCATTCCACATGGAAGCAATACCACTTCCTGCCTGTCAATCTAATTGCATGCCTAAATGGTTCTGGCTCTCTCTCACACAGAGAGACTTGTAACCATAGGTAGGCTGGAATAATAGGAAATGGAGGCCCACACTGGTGTGTCAGCAAACTAAGTGGCCTAGAAATTGCTCACAGGCTGATAGGTAGAGCACTGAAACCAAAGAAAAAAGCTTAAGCTGTGTAGGTTACTCCTCCTGCCTATAGCAACACAAGATATTCTTCAAGTCAGTTGCATAGTGACATATGGGGGCATATGGGGTCATATGCCATTGTTGTTGTTCAGTCGCACAGTCGAGTCCGACTCTTTGCGACCCCATGGACCAGATCACGCCAGGCCTTCCTTCCGTATGCCATGCCCCCTCTGAATTCTCAGCTTTCATTTTTTAAAATCTCTCACCCTTTTCATTACAGAGATACAAGGCAAAATGTACAGGTAATTTATCCAGGTTGCCTGGGAAGAAATGGGGGAAGGGAAGTTGCAAGAACAGCTTCTGGAAGAGACTCCCTTTCTGACCAAATTAATTTTTTTCTGCTCTTTTCCACCACCTTCCTTTCTGGGACCTTTGCTTCTTATTTGTTTTGTTTCTCTCCTCTTTAATGTCTTCCCTCATCACCGTGGACATGGGGCAGATAATTAGTGAGATTCTGTTTTGGGGGTGTTCCCTCTGCCTGCCGTAGGAAATTTGAAGGAGGGGGAATGGCCAGTTTCACATAGGTTGACATCTGGATTTAATTATTAATTGTAAACTAACTGGTGGTAACTTCCCTGTGTGACAGAATGCCTGAGTCTGAGCACGTGCGGAATGCTTTTTACTCACCTCTGTCACGATTTAGGACAAGGGGTGTATTGCCAAGAAGCGACAGTTCTTTCCCTCTAAGGGAGAAGGAGGCAATGGCAACACAAATGGTGAAGGAAAATAGGCTTTACAAGTGGGAGGCCTGCGAGACTCATGGGGGAATCCCATATCCTCCCCCCCCCCATTACCTGCCTCCACAACTAATGCCTCCACTGCCCTCTTTAAGCTTTCCTGCCATCTCCTAAATGGCCAGACTGCTGGGAGAGAAGCAGCACTGGAGCTCGGGGGGGGGGGAGCAAAGAGCTCTCCTTGCACCCTTCCCCTCACCCTCCAGCACAGATCACTGAAGTCTGGTCAGATAGAAACGTAGGAGTTTTTAAAGGATGGTTGAGACAGTGACTACAGAGGCATGTGAGTGGGCAAGGAGACTCCTTCTCACACCACCCTTCCCTGTAGCTGCCAGCTCACCAGCCCATTTTAAAAAACTTTCCTGCTCATTTCTAACAGGCCAGACCAAGTGGAGAAGCAAAGCTGGAGCTTTTGGAGGGGGAGCAAAGAATCCCCCCCCTTGTGCCTTCTTCCTAGCTAGTTAGAAAATGGGGGGGGGGTTAAAATGGCCATTGAGACTGTGGCTACAGAGACAGGGGTGAGAAGGAGCGTCCTCCCCAACTGCATGCCTCTGCAGTCACTGGCTCAGCTGTTCTTTTAAAATTTTCCTCTGGTTTCCAACTGGCCAGAATGCACAAAGAAGGAGCAGTGGAGATGGGCAACTGGAAGACTCCACATTCTCTCTCTCACACACACAGACACACACACCCAACACTGCCTCACCCCTCATTCTGGATTCTGGCCGGTTAGAAGCGATCGGGAAAGTTTTGAAAGGACAGCTGAGCCAGCCGCTACAGAGGTGTGTGAGTGGGCAGGGAGGCTCCTTCCTGCCTCAGCCTCTGTAGTGGTGGTCTCAGCTGTCCTTTTAAAACTTTCCTGCTGTTCCTCTGGTAGCTGCACATCTTCCTCCTCTTCCCCTGCCCCACTGCAGCAGTGCTGGGAGGGTTTTAACTTGTCCATTTGGGAGGGTTTTAACTTGCCACAACTTTTAAGCAGAGGGCTAAGATCTTTCTGCAACCTTGGGGGGGGGGGGTTTCCCCCAAAGTTTGGAGAAAGATCTCTCTTCTCTCTATGTGGCCTCAGTCAGTGGATATAAGTACCACAGAAGAACCACCATGTGGCTATTAGATATACAGATTTAGTAGTATAACAGTCTACACAAGAAAACCACATCTACAGAAGAGTCAGTGCAAGACCATCATATGCTTATATCCCTTTGGGTTTGGTGTAGTGGTTAAGTGTGCGGACTCTAATCTGGGAGAACCGGGTTTGATTCCCCACTCCTCCACTTGCACCTGCTGATGCGACCTTGGGTCAGTCACGAGCTCCGGCACAGCTGTTCCTGAAAGAGCAGTTTGTGTCAGAGTTCTCTCAGCCTCACCCACCTCACAGGGTGTCTGTTGTGGGGAGGGGAAGGGAAAGGAGTTTGTAAGCCGCTCTGAGACTCCAAGTGAAGGGCAGGGTATAAATCCAATCTACTCCTCTCTTCTTCTTCTTTAGCTGTAAGAAACCCCTGGAGAACATCAATGACTGGATCCCCTGAAAAACTGCACAGCACTGGTCCACACTTTCAGTCTGGGCTGAGGTTCAAATCTCAGAACATTCCCTATACGTTTATACTACCTAGAATACATTTCGTTTCAGAGATTACTCGTACTAGCCTTGGCAAAAGTGAAACATTTCAGACTCTCCCAGACTAACTGATTGGAAGTGGCGGGCATCCAGTATAAGTAAGTGATGCCGTCCTCCCTTCTACTCCCACACAGGGAATGCAAGTTTAACACAGAAAAACAACCGACTTTCCAGATGCCCATGACAAGGACACAGTGATAAGAAGGCTATGACAGAGAGGTTAGGTTCCACCTCTCCCCAAGAGAAACCAATGGTGGCTGAGGATTGTTGGTGGGAAGGTGACAGTTAAGCAAACTGGACTCAAACTTTGTTCTTCAAATGTTAGTTCAGTTCAAGTCAGACCTGGCTGAGCGAAGAAGCAGTAAGCTTGAGCCGGTGTGTAGCAGAACAGCAGCTTTACACTGACAAAGAATCCCAGATGCCTGAGTGAGGAAAAGGCTCAAAAGTTTAAGAACTTTGAGTTTGTCTGCCTGATTTACTCTAATATTGTGTTTAAGCAATTAATAAAGTTAATTTTTGTTTGTTTAACTCTGTGGGTTGGATGTGTATGGTCTCAGGGAAAGCTCAGTTTATATGAATATATATCAGGATATGAGAAAATGGTGGCAGCGTGTGACTAAAGCAGTGGTTGAGTTCCAACCCCAGCTACTCTGTGTAATGTCCGAGTGAGAGATGATTGTTAAAGGAGACTGGGCTACCCTGTCTGGTGGTGTCTCTGTGAATGAGAGAGAGGGGACCTTGTATGTGAAAGGGCCAGGTCCAATGTTCCCTCTAAGCTGTGGGGTCTTGTGAGCAAAAATTCTACTTTGTGAGCTACTGGCATTAAAGTTGTAAGTGATTTGGCTACTGCATAAATTAGTTTGCTCTGGAGCCATCCTTCCTGAGCTAAGACAAAAACCTGCGAGCTAGCTCACACCAACTCAGCTTAGAGGGAACACTGGTCAGGCTACTCCATATATTTTAAAAGAAGCAAAATGGGTGGCCAAACTGTCAGTCAATCTTTACTACAGCCCACAGGCCATTCAGAAGCAGAAAAAAACAATGGCTAGCTGTGATTGTCTGACCTAACAATAAATGTGAACCTGTGTGACAGAGGTTGTGGAGGGTGGTATGGTCTCCGAGTGAGAAATGGGATCATAGCGATTAATAAAAAAGAAGAAGTGTTCAATCCTGGCCAGCAAGAAGCCACTCAATGGGTGACAAAACGGAAAAAGTGTTGCACACTATCCTAACTCTTTGAAACTATGATAATCTTCCAAGAATGGCACTACAAGGTTTTACTTACGAGACAAGCCTTTATTGGCATATACATGTAGATACAATAATCTAAATATAAAATCCCTGCAGAGTAAAATTAGAGTTGCAGAATAAATAAACAGAGTAACAGCATAATAAAACCTAATTCACAGTAACCTTGGAATCTCCCAGAAAAAATAACTGAAGGAAGAACATTAAATCTAGCCAAGGATATAGCTCTACGCAAATTTGGAGCTATGAGTTGATAGAGGTTGATAGAACTGGGAGATTTGCATTTGGAACAATCCCTAAATTTAAGGGAGAACAGATTCTGTTAGCCAGGCTATAGAGAGCTAATTAAAACCCAACATTAAAATATTATTACACATTTTGAATAACAGTACAAGGACAGGGCTCTTTTTGTAGCAGGAACTCCTTTGCATATTAGGCGACACACCGCTAATGTAGCCAATCCTCCAAGAGCTTACAGAGGGTTTTAATTAACTTTTAATGTTTCATGTTTTTATTATGTTTTATTTTGTAAGTGACCACAGGTAGGTTCCCTGGAGAGGCATTTTCTAAATAAATAATAGCATGAAGACCATGTAGGACATTCTATGATATTAAATAATGACCATTCATGTGTATATTGTGGACATATTCAATATACTTTCAAAGATATGTCCATGGTTCAAAACTTTTCAAGAGTGGACCAAGCAATCCGCAGCAGGCAAAAAATTGAGCAAGTGAGGGAATGTCACAACTGATTAAATCCATCCCCCTGCAGAGTTCATCTTCATGCTATTTAGCATCTACATGAAACCACTGGAACAGGTCATCCAGGGATTTGGAGTGAGGTGCCGCCACTATGCTGATGACACCCAGCTGTTTCCTCCTTAACAGCTAAGCCAGGTGGGTCTGCGGAAGTTCTGAATAGGTACCTGGAAAAGGTAATCAGATGGATGAGGGCCAATAAACTGAAGCTCAATCCAGACAAGACTGGAGCGCTGTTGGTCAAAGGAGAAGCTGCTAAGGGGTTGCAGAGCCAGCCTGTCCTGGGGGGGAGGAACTGCATTCCCCTGAGGGAGCAGGTTTGTAGCTTGGGGGTGCTATTAAATCTTGGCGTACAGTTGGAGGGTCATGTCTCCTCGGTGGCATGTAGTGCCTTTTACCAGCTCCAGCTGCTTTGCCAGGTATGGTTGTTCCTCAAAAAGTGTAATTTGGTCATAGTGATCGATGTTCTTATTATATCCAAATTAGATTACTGTCATGCATTCTACGTGGGACTGCCTTTGCAAATGGTTTGGAAACTTCAATTGGTCCAAAATGCAGCAGACAGGCTAATGTCGGGGCTATAGTAATCATATCACCCCTGTGCTGAAGACCTGTACTGGTTACTGATCTGTTTTTGGGCACAATTCAAAGCGGAGGAGGGGGAGATTGGATTTATACCCTGCCCTTCACTACCCAAAGGAGTCTCAGAGCGGCTTACAAACTCCTTTCCCTTCCCCTCCCCACAACAGACACCCTGTGAGGTGGGTGGGGCTGACAGAAACTGCTCTTTTTCAAGGACAGCTCTGACAGAACTATGGCATGCCCAAGGTCATCCAGCCAGGTGCAAGTGGAGGAGTGGGGAATCAAACTTGGTTCTCCCAGATTAGAGTCCGCACACTTAACCACTATACCAAAGTGGCTCTAAATCTAATAGTAAGGTAGGGTAGGCTGAGAGAAAGTGATTGGCAACCAATGAGTAAGTGGGGATTTGACCCTGGGTGTCTCAGATTCTAGTCTGATACTCTATCCACTACACCACACTGACCCTCCTGATCCCTGAAGATATGCGAGACCCAGGCTGTTAAACTGAACCGAGACATACAACAGCAGAAACTGACCAGGGAAGATGGCTCAGTATCAGTAAAATTATTTCTCCTGAACGAACTGGACTGGAGGCAGTGGAACGTCTGAATCTACAAGGAAAGGCATGTGTCATGTCAAATAATATCATCAGACTCCTAAGTCATAAGACTCCTAATTATGGTATTGCCATATGCTGTAACCTCTAACTGCATGAACTTGAATCAGGTGCACTGGAAGCAACTCTGATGTCATATTGACAAGAGCAGTTACTTTGCAACAAAAACTAAAACACTGCTCTGTTATTGCCTTGCCCTTGCAAATGTTGGTTTACAGTGAGTCAGAGTTATCAAAATAAGTAAGCTCATTACATAAACAAGTCCTTGTGCTTAAGACTCTTATATTTCTACCAGAGCTGTAGCAAAGGTCTGCCAAGACTCTTGTTGTTTCTCAAAACAATTCTCCTTTCTTGGCACTTATTTTTCAAAACATTATTACACCACAGGTGTCATTCTAATTTATTTTCTGGAATTATTGTCCATCTTTTCCAAGATTATATCCAGAATGCAATCAGCAGCTGTCCTCAGTCTCAAAAAAAAGAAAGATTGTATATACATTTTCCCAGCTCTAGCTACTTCTCTGCAATTGCTTTTTTGACTCGAAGACAAGAAGTGTGGTGACAGTGAAGCAAGTTCTCCGAATAGGCTGTCACAGGGTAGAAAAGCCAAATTTCCTAAACACAAGAATTTAAAGAAATAACAAAAGATGCAGACGTCATTTGCTTCAGAGTGAATCTACGGATGCCCTACTGCTGTCTGAGGGGCTCCTTCCATGAGCTGAAGTGCACCTTGGGACCGAACCTTTCCTAAGTGCTGGAAGTAAAAAACTCAGTATTCATCACTTACTTTTAATTCATGTTTTCTGAATAAGAAAGCCAGAGATCAGAGCATAATGCATTCCTATGAAGCTACGAAACAGTAGCATTCTTAAAATGTTCACTACTAGTACCCTTTCGCTTTTTTTTAGATAGCTTTTATGACAAAGCATGCCAGAACTATCACCACCAGTACCATACAAGAGAGAGAAAGTGATAGGACAGATTAAGACTTGCATCATCTGCTGCTCTGAAGAAATTTTATACTGCATAACTGGCAAATTGTAATTCACCATTTTCTGATCACCTATATTATACAGGCTCCTATGAACTTTTTTTAAAAAATGAAAGAAATTGACATTTTAAAATCAAATATTCCTTATAAGGACTGGTATATTCATTTTTTCTACAAGATCATTTTGTGAGGTACAGGAAAAGTTGAGTTAATGCAGCTGAGCTGTTCTGAGAGCACTACTGTGGCATAGTGGTTAAGAACCACGGACTCCAATCTGGAGAATCAGGTTTGATTCTCCACTCCTCCACGTGAAGCCATATGGGTGACCTTGGGCTAGTCACAGTTCTCTTAGAACTCTCTCAGCCTCACCTACCTAACAAGGTGCCTGTTATGGGGAGAGGAAGTGAAGGTGACTGTAAGCTGCTTTGAGACTCCTTAGGTAGAGAAAAGCAGGGTATAAAAACCAACTCTTCTTCTTCTGAATAGATGCAGCATATATTCCTGGCAGTACATTTAGACTGTGATCATTCTATGCTGAGGTTTGTTTACAAATACAGCTTGTTCATGCCTGCCTCAATTCCGCCCCCCCCCCCAGGTCTCATGATTAATTATTCCAGATTTTAAACAAACTCCAGTTTCCCCTGATGCAGGCACATGGGTGCTTTGGAGAGTGATGCATACACATACTCAGCAACTTGTCATGTTCATGTCCAAACCTTAACTGGAGCTTGTTGCGACAATCTGAATGCAGCCTCTTATTCTAGACTGCATGACTTGAGACTGCAGGTGAGTGTTTATAAGACTGACTAGTCTTCCTTGAACTAGAAAACTAGCAAGCCAAGGAGAAGGCTGAGCTGCAGCACTCTTCACTGAAGCCTCTAGAGTTTAGTTTTCCTTCAACCTAATGAAGCTTCAGCAAGGTAACACTTGATGTCAAGAGATGCTTGAGTATTATTTACCTTCCTCTCTAGCTAACAGAACACAACACAATATTCATGCCATAATTACCTTAATACTACATCCAAATAAAGTAAAAGAATATAAACTCTTACTGAATTTCAGCAAGGTAACACCTGATGTCAAGAGAGGCTTGAGTATCATTTACCTTCCTCCCTAGTTACAGCTAACAGAACACAACGCAATATTCATGCCATAATTACCTTAATACTACATCCAAATAAAGTAAAAGAATGTAAACTCTTACTGAAATAATTACAGATTTTTACACTATTCACATCAAGCTTGCTTGCATGGAAAAACAGTCGTCATAATTTAAAGCCTTTTTCTGACCTTCTAGTTTTTACCACAGACCATATATGATCTGTAAAAGCAGAACTGTAAGACAGACCAGACATCTACCAGCATTCAGCTCATCAGCCCCTTTATCAAGAATATAGTTTCTGATCACTACAGTACTTGCACCCCATCACTTGCACCCCATCAATTCCTTTCTTACACCCTGTTAGACTAGTTGAACAATTCTTCAAAGGACTTACCATATATATGAAAAGAGGCACAATGCTCTGTAATGCTCCCATATACTGTCCAAGTGCTATGTTAAACCTTTCAACGTAGAGCTCTGGAGGGCTGGCCTGGAAGAGACAAAAATAACAATCATCAGGGTCCTTTTTAGTAAACCTTCTTGGAGGATCCTAATTGGAGGTGCAATCCAAAAATCTTAAGTCAAAATAACATCAAAGATTGGAAGATAAGATCCTGCAAGCAATAACATTCCTAAGTTATTCTGTCAAAACCCACAAACTAGAAGCAAAAACAAACTGACAAACATTAGAAGGAACAATCTGTATCTGCAGACTAAGGCATCCTACAGGCTTAACTACCTGCAGAGCAGTATATACACACTATATAATGCATCAGGGTTTTTTTTTAAAGCAAAGTACCTTACTATTTTAGCCTCAATAAAATAATGTGTATTGACATTATTATTTACTTAACTAGAGAGCCTCAATGAAATTTTGCTTTGGTAAAAGCAACATTAAAATTCATCTTCCATGCTGCATTCACACTCCAATCGGTGCCCCACTTACTGCCTTAATAATGCATTTATCAACTGCAGTTTGGCCTTGATGGCTCTGAGAGTTAAACCCTTGGTCAGAAAATTCTAACAAGTGAGAACATGTTAATTGTAATCATGAAAACAAACACCATAAACATTTTGAGAAGTTGCAGCATTTGCTTTCTCCCTCGTAATTCAGTATACTGAAGTTGCACACAAGCCATTCAACAGTCCTTTTAGCTACCAGCACTCATCTACAGAAACCTGTCAGGGTCACAGGCGGCAAAAAAACAACATCTATTTGAGGTCATGACTGTTACATTATACAATTGTAATTCTGAGAGAGGTTTATCTATAGTATCCAGGGGGCTTCGCTTTAAAAATGTTAAACTACACTCTTCAGCCTGAAATGCTTGATCCTCTACTCGGTTGAGATACGAACTAAAAAAAACTAAAATCCATTCAACCATTTGCACTTTGGAAAATGCAGCAAAATATAGCAATTGCTTCTGTGACGTCCTCCTTATTGGGGAGGACTAGTTTCACTTTAAAAGTTCTCTTTATTTTGTTTAACAGGGTAGATTCTGCTTCCACCAGGACATTTTAAGGATTTCCAAACCTTTATGCTTATACTTTTGCTCTTACTAGTTTGGTAGACCGAGTTTAAGGCTTACGAGGAACTAGGTGGTCCTGGGAAGTATTTCATTCAGAGCTGGTATAAACTTGAATAAAAAAGGATTTATTGAAATAAATACTAAATAAGAGGGTGATACAATGTAACTAGTAATGTGTAAATGATGTACAATTGCTTTGGTATCACACACAATCTTATCCCTCACTGACAGGGATCTTTTTCATATAACTTTGTAACACTTGTTTATCTCAAGGCCATATATGTTCACTGTTTCTCTCCAGTTTGTTATGACACTCAGACTTTCCTTTAACTTTCCTTCACTTAAACTTTACTTTACTTTTTCCTATATACTCAGCTTTCAGCTCTCTTTCTTTATCTCACTGAACAACCTCAGCTGTCAGCTTCTAACTGCTTCAACACAGAATTGCCTGTCTACGTCAACTGTCAACTTGTAACTGAAACTATTGACTGACTCACATACTTATCCACCCATTCACTTCCAAAACCTCTCCCCCTCTCTGTCAACCACCAATCATACCACACTTGCCTCTCTCAACCACTCTTGTCTATCTACCACAGCCATTCAACCAAACTTTTAAAGAGACACACACACACAAAAACAAGGAATCGTTACAGCTTCTTTAATACCATCTTTAAAACAGCAGATTTCCTTTAACCAGAGGGAAGATTAGCACTAGAAGGGAAAGGTTGAGCTAAAAGACAAGGGTTCTACTACACATATAAGTCCACAAAAACCTTTACAACAGGAAAATATAACAATGATTCTTCATTATTGCATTAGCCATGTATTACCTAATGCTGTGCTAAGACAATCTGGTTGGATAACAAGATGCAACACAGAGACTTGCAGTTACTTTCTGAATTAGTGTCAAGCCAACATCGTTGAAGTTGAATACAAAAACAAGTGTCTAGGTAGCCACAGGATTACCCTTACATACGAAAATGAGTTGAAGTGACATGGCCTGCATTCATGGCAGCAGAAGAATGAGGATATATCACTTGAAATAAATAAGACAAGACAAAATAAATTTGGAATATTCTAGGGATCAATGGTGAGATGCAACATACTGAAGCTAAGTTGCAAAATAAGATTTTCCTGCCTCCTTCTCTAATTCTGATCCTGAGGTGGGGGGCACTGTCAAAGAATCCTAACAAGCAGGGGGAGCAATGTGGCGGTCTGCTATGAAAGGAAATCCAAACACAAAAGCCATGAAATATATTTTATTAGGATCAATCAAAATGACACAAAACAGAATGTAGGGTTTCAGATTTTGCAGAACTCTTCATCTGACTGGATATTTTAAAGAAGGGGGATTTCTCACTCTATGGTCACACGTTCTTGTAAAAATCTTGTGTGAAAAACTGAGTAGGTACGATAATTTCAAATGGTGCTGGTGTCAGGTTACATACCTCGGCCTTCCCACTGAAAACACAAAAACCAGCAGTTGATAAAATATCAGAGTGGAGAATCTGCAAAAACTATCCTCTTCTTCAGCCCACAGAAGTGGTACTCCACTAATGTTAGTGCTACTTACATCAGAAGAACAACTTTGGATTCAACTAAGTCAAAACACAATTGTATAACATCTTAATTTGGCGGTTCCATTTGTTTGGGGGTGCAGAAATATAGAGTTCCTTCCAGTCAGTACAACAGATTCTATACCCAACACAGAACATACTAGCAATATATACACAAATACAAAGATTTTTTATAGACTAGTTTTAGCAGGAGTTCATCTGGTACAAATGTGGGGAAAGGATTTTAACAGTTCTTCCCTTCTCTCACATTGGAACATTCCCTCTACCAAGCACTGAAAATAGCTGCCACCCTAAAGGCCTTCCAGATGGGTCTGAACCTTGCCATTTCCAGAGGGCCTTCTGAGTCTGCTTGGTAAGAAACAGTCTGACACTACCAAGAAACTGACTTCTACTGTAGTTTCCTGTTAATTGACTTTTATTTTATTGTGCTGTAAGCCACCTTGGGAACAGTATTAGTTAAAAGGTGGTCTATAGACAAACTAAACCATCCGTCGGCTGCCCATTAAACTCCTCTACTTACTGCTTACCATTATCAAAACATCTCATCCTTAATGTGACCCCATAATTGTATTCTTAAATTCAGACACTACGGTCAAGTACAGACAGACAGATCTTTCTACAAACCTGAAAGAGCCCCAGCTTTCCAGAGAAATCAGAAATCTAGGGGGGAAAGTACATTGGTGGGTTAAACCCCCACGAACAATAAATACAGAACGTGTAGCTCTAAGAAACAAATACGCTCTCAGTGTAGTTATTACTAGCAACCACAACAGTATTGCCAGTCTTCAAGTCTTCATTTCTATTAGCAAACGTTAGAGCAGGGGTGTCAAACATTTGACCCATGGGACAGAACTAGCCCCTGCAGGGCTTGTATCCGGCCCACGAGCAACTGGCTCTCTCCTGCTTCCTTCTATGGGACAGCTGGTGTATCACAGCTTGCTTTCCCCCCTGTCACCTATCAATCACACAGGAGAGATGCAAAGCCAAGCCTCCCATCCCTCAATTAGCTGAGGACTCTTCCCCCTCCTCCTTCTTTGAGGAAGAAGGGAGAGAGAGAGCAGTCACATGCAAGACAGAACAAAGTCAGAGTCCCATCATAGCACCTTTAAGACCAACAAAGTTTTATTCAAGGTATAAGCTTTCCTGTGCACTTTTCCACAGCTTTACTACGCCAGCCTCTTTCTCAATTGAACTAACTGCTGATTTCAACTGTCTCCAACAGCTCCTTTTGGCTGCTCTTAGGGAGAAGTAGATATCTATGGGTTTCTTTTTTCTTTTTCTAAAAGGGAGGTCACTAAAGCAATCAGGTTTGATCCTGCTTTTTGAGGGGGGCTTTCATTTTAACCCCCCCAATCCTTCCTGGTGCATTTTTGCAAAAAAAGGGGAAAGAGAATGGACTAGGCAGTTTTCATTGGCTGAGTTCTATAGTGGCTGTTGAGGGGGGGGGGGGGGGGCGTCCCGAGAAGAATCAATAAACCTCCACTTGTATATTTTGCTCTGTAGTCCTCACCAGGAAGGTGAGACATGCAAGTGACGCACCACAAAATAAATTGGTGAGGTTTTAGAAGGCTTTCGGTGTGTGTGGATTTATTGATACAAAAAGGTGGAAGGAGAGAGATTTCCCCTGGTCTGTTTCTAGCTCTTTAGCCATTTGGAATAATATTTTGGAGAGCTCATGGTGGTAGGGGACTAAGGTGTGTGGCTTAATTGGGAAGGGGGAGAGGAAGCTTTTTTTCTGGAGATCGCATTGCCTACAGCCAGAAAATGCCGATTCTCCCTGCAAAAGGCAAACCTTTACCAGTGAAGATGCAATTAAATGGAGGCAGTTTGGAGGAGTTTGAATTGCTTTCACTTTGCAAGCCACAAGATTTCTTTATGGGGGCTGGGAACAAGCTGAAGGAAGGAGGCTGTCTTCCCCCCCCCCTCCAGCCAAGGAGCCAGAGTGTGGAAGGCTGCAACTTTGGAGGAGAAGGTGGTAACTATAGAGAGGTAGTGGTGGGAGAGAAGAAAACTATATTATTGGAAGCATCACTTCAACAATAGTCCCCCCACACACACACTTCTGTGCAGAGGTGCTAGATATCTATAGGTTTCTTAATGTAAATCCTACAAATGGCTTTGCTTTTTTTCCAGAAATGGGGAGGGGGCCCCTAAATAAACACTTTACAGCCATTCTCCCACAGTTTATGCTCATATGTGAAAAATGGAAAGGCAATTCTTAAATAGACATGCATCAAGTTTTGGATTGGCAAAAGACAAGAAAGGCTGTTTTAAACATGCTTGTGCTAGGCTTCTGTAAAAGGAAATCAGGTAGATATGCACTTGGCTTAGTGCAGGGCAATGAAATTCTCTCCTGCTTCTTTGCTCCAGGGCTGCTGCTA